ACCAGACAGACATTCATGGTAACAAAGACCAGATAGACATTCAGTGTAATAAAGACCAGATAGACATTCATGATAACAAAGACCAGACAGACACTCAGTGTAATGAAGACCAGACAGACCCTCAGTGTAATGAAGACCAGATAGACACTCAGTGTAATGAAGACCAGACAGACACTCAGGGTAATGAAGGCCAGATAGACACTCATGGTAATAAAGACCAGATAGACACTCTGGGTAATGACGACCAGATAGACACTCAGGGTAATGAAGGCCAGATAGACACTCAGGGTAATGACGACCAAATAGACACTCAGGGTAATGAAGACCAGATAGACACTCAGTGTAATGAAGACCAGACAGACACTCAGGGTAATGAAGGCCAGATAGACACTCAGGGTAATAAAGACCAGATAGACATTCATGGTAATATAGATCAGCTAGACACTCAGGGTAATGAAGGCCAGATAGACACTCAGGGTAATGAAGACCAGATAGACACTCAAGGTAATGAAGACCGGATAGACACTCATGGTTATGATTTCTAGATAGATATTCATGGTAATGAAGATCAGATAGACATTCTTGATTATAAAGAATAAAGACCAGACAGACATTCATGGTAACGAAGACTAGATACTTCCTCTACTTTTACCGGTAAGCGGCCTACGTCAAAAAGCTGACGATTATGCCACCAGGTGTGCGCATGTTCAAGAAAAGGGGAAAATTTAACAATGGTGACATGCGCTAGCTGAGGCTGGCTATCCTTCGTCTCTCCTCTAGCGATGGTCATTCCAGCTGATCTATCCTCTCGGTTACGGACGAGGTGTTGTGATGTCTATTGTGGACATACTGACCTGCTCTGCGCCGAATCATTTCGATTTTTTAACATCTGATTTTTGATAAGGATTCCAGGTCGCACTTGCATACTCAAAAGTTGTTCTTTCTAATGACTTTTATGCTTTCTCCTTGATGTATTTTTTTTTTACTTATGTTGATGTTTCTTTTGAGAAAGCCGATAGTGATGTTTGCTTTAGCGGTGTGTTACTTATGTGTTGAGTCCACTTCAAATCTGACAAAAAGGTAAGGCCTAGATATTTTGCAGAAGGAATTTGCTCTAATTTTTGGTCATGTAGGATATATAGTTTTTGATAATTCACGATTCCTGGTGATGCTTAGCAGTACGTTACATTTTTCGGGGTGGAACTTCGTGAGCCACATATTTTCCCACACTACTTGTTGGTTTAAGTCTTCCTGCAGCTTCTCTGCACTTGATATGATGGTCATGTATGCTATGGTATCATCAGCGAAGGGTCGCATAGTTGATAGAAGGCCCTCTGGCATTAGGTTGATATAACGTTCCATAGAAACCCATGTTTATGAAGACAGGATAACACTCATGGTATTTGAAAACCAGATAGACATTCATGGTAATGAAGACAGGATAGACACTCACAGTAATGAAAAACCAGATAGACACTCATGGTAATTAAGACCAGGCCTGGGGGCCATAAAACTTAGACGAGCTCACTTTTGAGCTCAGTCTCACTTTTACCAAAGGAATTAATAGTGGAAAAAGTGAGACTGAGATCAAAAGTGAGCTCTTCTGAGTTTTATGGCCCCCAGGTCAGATACACATTCACGGTAAAGAAAAACCACATACTACGCATTCATGGTAATGAAGACCAGATAGACATTTATGGTAATGAAAACCAGGTGGACACTCACGGTAATGAAAACCAGATACACAGTCATCCAGTCTGGCCCCCTAACTGTGGTTGAATTCATCCATTTAAACACATCCTACATAAACAAATAAATAATCATGGTCATGTTTTTTCCCTATAGTTTATTCTAGACATGTACATTATTTCAAATTGTCATTTTGTTCTTATGCTTGATCGCATGCGCGGATCTAGAGGGGGGGGGGGGGGGGTCGGGGGTCCGAACCCCCTGGAATTTGCAGAGTCACTAAATTTATTTACTAAACAAATAAAAAGTTTCCTTGCCCCCCCCCCCGAAAACGCAGCCCCCCTCATAAATTTGGGTATAGTGAAGTTGGTATGAGAAGTCATACGTGTAGCTAGAAGAATTGGAAGTCAACGACTACCCCCCCCCAACCCCCCGAAATAGAATTTTCACGTTTAAGCGAGATAACGGTTTTTTTTGCTTGTCAACAAATTTCTGGGTTGGATTTCTTTTTCACTGGAGTGGACCCCCCCCCCCCCCCCTGGAAAAAATTCCTGGATCCGCGCCTGTGATCGTTAATTTCTATTTCCGTCACTATCAATATGTTTGTGTGTTTAACAGAAAGAAAGAAAGAGAAAAGGCTTTTATACCAATACTTATTTGCATGCCCCCGTAATCGAAGATTCGGGCGTATATAGTTTTTACCCTATACGTCCGTCCGTCCGTCTGTTTGTCAGCAAAAAAAATTTAAACTTGTTCCCATCTTTTGAATGTATTTATATTTCACAGGTGTATCCCTTAGGATAAGCCAAGACCATTCTTTTGGTACCACCAAATTTGGTCTCGTGACCTTGACCTTCGAGTTTGACTAACTTTTACCAAAATCTCCGAACTTTAACCATAGCCATAACTTTTGAATAGTTGGTGATATGGCTTTCATACTTCACATGAGTTTATGTGACAAGACCTTTCACTGAGTACAAAAATATTTTATCTTTTGACCTTGACCTTATAGTTTGGCTTAGTTTTAAAACTTTAATCGCGACTATAACTTTTGAACTGTTAATATTACGGCTTTAATAATTTACAAATATGTTTTTCTTGTGACAAGACCTTCCTTTGCATACCAACAATTTTGACCTTTTGACCTTGACCTTAGAGTTTGGCCCACTTTAAAAAAAACTTTAACCTTGGTCATAACTTTTTATTTTATTTAAAACAATATTTTATTCACTGATGTTATTGTGAATAGGACTGGGCAGCAGGCGCAGCCTATTTTAGCCCTCTCCCTAACTTTTGAACCCTTAGTACTAGGCCTTTCATATTTCAAAGGTGTTTTCTATTTGTGAAGAACTTCATTTGGAAACCACAATTTTGACCTTGAACATAGAGTTTTACCCACAAAAAAACCTTCACCATAACTTTTGAACCTTTAGTGTTTGGGCTTTCATATTCCACATTTGCTTTTCTTGTGAGAACATCTTTCATCAGGTATTTTGACCTTGCAGTTAAACTTGCATTTGAGATATTTCAACCCTAGTCATAAGCTGCCACACGGGCGCATCAGTGTTTCACAAACACATCTTGTTTCTTTAGTGTTTTTTTTACCTACCATACTCAAATAAATGGAATACTAGTATTATAAATGATGAGTGTTTGTATTTTCTTACTGGTATCACAAATTGTAACAGGATCCATGTGATACACTGAAATCAACCCAGATTTGTCAGTAAAAAAATCGATTTACATGCAGTTGAGTAACATAATGATCTAGATTCAGACCTTGACACTTGTATAGTGTTTTAATTCTTTTATACATGTACCTAATTCTTTTAAATATCATAACATATACTTTATACTACGTAAAAAAGCTTGACGTGTTCTCTTTGAAAGACATCACAGATTACATTTAATGCCATATGCTTATAAGAATCGGCGCCAAAAAGCTATATATGTATATTTAGCTTAAGCCTACAGGAAACTGCGTTTCTCTTGAAGAAAATACGCATTTTATTTTGTACCTAAATGTGGGTGTACAAATGTCAGCTTTTTACAATAAGTTTTTTTTAAATTTAAAAAGATTGAGTTAAAATGAGATAAGAGAATTAAATTACTGCAAGGAAAGATGCAAGCCTGACATCAGCCCTCCATCAAAGTAAACTTCACCAACCTACATGTAGGGTGTGTGGCATGATACACTTGTTGTCTTATTTTATTCTGTCATCGCCCACCTTGAAACTCTGTGGTGTACTCCCTGAGTAACGGTTGGTTAGTATGTGCTACTAGGTAAGGGTCTGAGGACTGGTATCAATTAATCTGTGTTATTATTTTTTTTCAATGGGTGGCACGGTAGTTCCTGATCACCTTCGGTATGTTTCGATGTAAAATCCAAAAATTACAATAAAGCGTACTGGTGGTAAAATTTTCCGTTTGATGAAACGTTTTGAGCTTTTTTAGAACGTTGAGAAAAAAGTCATAGATATTATTATATAAGATTATTTTCGTAATTTTCATTGGCTGAAAGAACGTCACGTGATATTCCTCCTTCCGTGATATCGACCCGAAAGCGCGTCCGCGGAAAATGATATCGCACGACACGCCGTTCGGTTGCACCAAAGTTACGTAGAATGTGACGTCATAATATACGAAGCGTGTTTTAACCATTGTGACTAATGATAGCCGAGTCTGTTCAGTTAGGAACGTGTCAGTGCATTCACTTTGAGTGATTATATAATATACCTATTATGGACTTCAATGAACAGTCAATATGTGGTTATAAGGGCTCATGGCGATATTAATATTGACCTCAGACACAGAAAATGATAGCGACCTAATCTAATTAAAATCAGATTTTGATCCGATCCAACTAGGGATTGCATATTGATGCAATGTACTTGTTTTACGGTGCCTTTAGTTACACGTCTTCTAACTTTATAAAATATCCATCTCGGTGTACCTCAGACAGTTATATTTTTATCCACAGAGAGTAGGGTATAATGAATATATCTTGTTTTAAATAAATCAGAGACATAAATAACTATTGTTAAGCCTATTTATGTACATCTGAAGAAATGAAACGATGTTCGATAAAAAAAAATGCCCAAAGTTTATGGAATTCCATATACGACAGCCAACTGGATCACAGGGTTTTAGATAATTTTAATCTTACCACACTGTACCAGGGACCTATAAACTAATGTTGTATATATAGGTCCCTGGTCTTACCAGGGAGAAATATTTGGAGTGTCTTTCCAACTTTTTATTGATATCGGGCACGAGATACCAAAATATTGAACTTAGTTTCAGTTTCACAAATGGCATCACTGGGAGTAGAAAAACTTCAAAAGAGAATTAATAGAAAAAGGCAAACATCATCCTTTAACTGTGATTCTTCGAGTTCAAGCGATACAGCAGCGAACTATGGTGCGAGAGCGAAAAAATATCATCACTTTAAATACCCTAACGTTATTTCAAAGTGGACCACGAAAACGTTGGAAGACTACGGAATAGCATACGATAACAATCCAATTAGTATGGAAGAATTCACTACCAAGATCCAGTCAAGAGCACAGGGGGTGTGTGATAAAAAAGTGCCAGATTTTCTTTCTACCCTTAAATTGTTATGCAGGAGAGGCCTTATTTTTTCTCTTGAGGTACCAGAAAATGAGACATTGAAGAGTTTTGATGTGTTATCTGATTCGGCTACAAGGGTGCGTGAAATTCTTAACGATTTTGACGCGTTTGTCAATGATATATTAATAAAAGAGGAGGAGTATCTTGGTAAAGAATGGCAAAACAAAGCGTAAGTGGTTTTTCACAATTTTAACTGTTTAGTAAGGTCATATTGTAGTTCTTGTTTGAATAAATGGGAGGCCATGTAACTTTTGATCTGTTGATCTCAGCTGTCTCACTTTTCCAAAGTAAAGTTGTAATTTACTGACTGATCAGCTGGATCAAAGACTTACAGTCATTGAATACTGGATTCAAAGGGAAAATGCCCACTGCAAATATATTAGATACTGAGATACAATGTTTCAATTATTCAAATGATAATGTCCTTGAGACCATTAAACTGAGACAAGCTCACTTTTGATCTCAGTCTCACTTTTTCAAAAGGAATAATCCGTATTATACTCCATTCTTATGATACCGGTGGTTCTACCGGGGTATTTCTATTTGCATCACTCGCAAAAAAAGACACCTAGTGATGGGCTTTATTTAGACATGAGAAGTGATACTCTGCTGTCAACAGGTCAAGCTCTATCTAATTTATTCCTGAAATGTTACGTTTTTTTTGTTAAGTAAACAGCTATTTTCTACAAGACCCATATTCTCTGTGTTATTTTGCACCACACGTCATACCAGACACTCATAAAAGTGTTAAAACGGCTATATTGTAAACCATTTCCCCATATGGTCTTCAGTTTTGTTGTCGTATGATGCATTTCAGTCACAATTAAGTCATGTCTAAAAAATAAATGAAAATGATGAAATGCTATTCTTGTTAAATTTATATATTAATCCTGCAAGGCAAAATAATAATGAAGCTTGTGATGACATTGCTTCAAATTAATCTGAAATTGTTTCAAAATACTTTGATTTATAAAGAGTTGTTGTTTTTTTTTTTAAAGAAAATGTTTTATTTTTTATATAAATGTGAAAAAATAAACAATCAAATTAAGCAAAACTTTTTATCTCAAATCATCAATTGATATCTAAACCATACGATTAAAAAAAAAAATTACCGCTGATTTACAATGTGGTAGGGGTCAGCCGACATTTGTGATTTTCTATAGTAAATCGAGAACAGTCATTCATTTCAAAGCTTTTGTTAACTATGAGCCTAACGTTGTGCAAACTTGTGCAAATTACAAAAGACACATTTTACATTTATAAAACTTGTGTGAAAGTATGAAATTTGCACATGCTTAGGCTGGTACTTAAGATATTAAAATTGTATAAAAAGTACAATGTTTTCCCTATAGCAAGTGAGAGCTTTTTACCTGTATGACCCATGTTCAACCCACGTGTGGAATAAATTATTTAAAATACTGATAGTCACGTAAGTTTTACCCAGGTAAACATTCCTCAAAGGTGCTCACTGTAAAATATAGGCAGGTTTTGTATCAGTAAGTCAAAGTTGTGCCACTTAGAGATATTTGTATGTATTTGTTTTTAAGAACAACGGAGGGTAAAGAGAGATTAGTGTCGTTCATAAAAGTGTCAAACATTTTAAACCTTCATGCAAGACAATGAAACAGGTAATGAAAACCACCTAAACACTCCTTTTTAATTTCAAATTCAATGAAACTAATATTGTAATTTTTCAAATGCAAGAGTACCAATTGCTTAGTTTAATCATTATAGCAACAGGCAACTACACAACTTCATTCAATATTTAAAAAAAAAAAAACAGGTTTGGTGCAAGAAGTAACATTCTGCAAACGCGCCTGACTATGATCCACCATCAGATTGTTCAAATATCGATTTAAATATCTATTCCCCTTGATCTACATAAACGAAACTGAAAGAAGGTTCGGTACAACATTTTCGGATTGACAGGTATCCATAGGCATTTAAAAATATTCAGTTGTTTCAAATCCATGCTGAATTTAGTGATGCTTAACATGCTTTTTAATTAAAAATATCCGCTAGTGTCTAAATATTACTAAAAGAGAACGATTTGGTAATATGTTCTGAAGTAAAATGGCACATAAAAAGGACCCATTAAGTATTGCTTAAGTGCACTTATCCTTTCCCCAACTATGTTATTTAACTTGATTAGAAATCTCAGGATGAAATATGATATTTGAAAAATAAATGACATTAAAAACTATTAGATTAACATATTTCAGCTAATTTAGATGGAAATTATTTTTAATAATATAATGTAAATCCATATTTTATTTAATATTATTTTTAAATGAGAAATTATGTTGATTTAAAAGAAATAAAAGATGTCTTTTGTTGATTTTTGGCTATATTCTAGCTCACCATACATTTGCACCGGTACCAGAGTAACATCCCTTGAATACAGAAATGCTAGACTGGGTGAGATTTTTTGTCTTTCTCATGTTATCAATAAAATATGTAAACAGTAACAATTACAACATATCATCATGATCATAAGAATTAAGGTAATTCATTAATTTTTCTATTGACACAACATGGTAAATGATTTTCTAAAACTTTTTTGACTGATTAATTGACTTTCAAAATGCACACCAGTACCATAGGATCCCGGCATAATGGCGGAAAAGTGAGACTTAGATCAAAAGTGAGCTCATCTCAGTTTGAATGTGTTCTGTATATTGACAAATTAGCAAAGCAAACTTGGTGCATTTACTATGAACAATCCATGGAGTTCTGAATTTTCAACATGAGTGTACAATAAAAATGTAAATGTAGTACTAGTAAAATGTTGAGAAAGTGTTTGATTATTCATATGGATAATGTTTTTGGATGAAAGGTACTCACATTAAAAATCACAGAAAGATTTGATTTGACAAATTTGAAGGTTATTTTATGTGCTGCTGCTACTTCATTTATTTTCTCTGAAATTGTCTCAGAGCAATTTTGAAATCATTGGCTACATTATGGGTATGTGGGAAGCATTTTAACAGCATGTGTTGAGGGCCTGTCCTTAGAATTTGATTATTTTAAAAGATTTATCATATATTAAATTTATTGTTCTGTTATAGAATTTAAGTTGATTCATCAATTTCATGTGAGCCTTGTTGCCTGTAATTCTATTATTACTAGCATATGGTCTTGTAACATGTTAAATGACCATATATAAATAGCAGTACATACATATTTAAACATTATTAATAATATATTTTTATGTCCCTATGCATGATAGGAAAATGAAAATAGTTTTTGTTTTACTTCTGAAATACAATTTTCTTTGTTACAGGTTGTTCTTTGCATGGTCCCACAATGTGCGAAGTTTCATCAACTACTACAAAAAATTCCTGGATAAAATGAATTCAAGCCTGTCCGAGAGTTGGTTAGCAAAACCAGTTAGAGAAGCTTACATGAAAGAACTTTTCATGGTCTTCTCGAAGATATTCTTTTTGGAACCAGAGTATGTACCACATTATAACTATTTCAGATAAATGAATTAGAAAAATCACTTTGACTCTTGCCTAAGGCTGTTCATTACATTTAATGTGGTTTCTGTTTTTTCCATGATAATGTACCAGCTATGTTATTCATTTCACACTGCATCATTGTGGTTTTCAGTGTTCCAAGTTGCAACTTATAGGCACATTATGTACAAGTGACAACACTGTATTTATGAATTCTTTGGTTGGCCCAATTGTACTTGATCACCAATGTGCATTAGCTGGTCACTTTTGAATAAAATTCACAAAATTTACTGTGATCCTTTGCTAAAAGAGGTGGTTTAAAGACTCAGCATGTTAAGAGCAATGAAGGATAAGAATACAATTTAAAATTTTTTTTTGCAGTATTTGTTTGAAATGTTGTCTAATCCAGAAGGTTTCTATTGTTCCTGTTAATGTCTTTGGAATCAGTGATGTCCGGATTTAGACAAATTTTATACTGTTCTTGTTTTTTTATTTAATATTGATAAATCTAGAAGGGTGAGATCAGGAAGGTGGCCAGATTGGAATTTGGGCTATTGGTCATATTTTGTCATGGCACTCCTATGTTCCAGTTTGGACTTTGTGCTATTGGTCATTGTTTATCATGGTACTCCTATGGTACAGTTTGGAATTTGGGTTATTGGTCATTGTTTATCATGGCATGCCTATGTTACAGTTTGAAATTTGTGCTATTGGTCATTTTTTATTATGGTACTCCTTTGTTACAGTTTGGACTTTGGGCTATTGGTCATTGTTTATCATGGCACTCCTATGTTGGAATTTGGGTTTTGGTCATTATTTATCATTGCACTCCTATGGTACAGTTTGGAATTTGGGCTATTGGTCATTGTTTATCATGGTACTCGTATGTTACAGTTTGGAATTTGGGCTTTTGGTCATTGTTTATCATGGCACTCCTATGTTACAGTTTGGAATTTGGGTTATTGGTCATTGTTTATCATGGCACTCCTATGGTACAGTTTGGAATTTGGGTTATTGGTCATTGTTTATCATGGCACTTCTATGGTACAGTTTGGAATTTGGGCTTTTGGTCATTGTTTATCATGGCACTCTTATGTTACAGTTGGGAATTTGAGCTTTTGGTCATTGTTTATCATGGCACTCCTATGTTACAGTTTGGAATTTGGGTTATTGGTCATTGTTTATCATGGCACTCCTATGGTACAGTTTGGACTTTGGGCTATTGGTCATTGTTTATCATGGTACTCCTATGTTGGAATTTGGGTTTTTGGTCATTATTTATCATGGCACTCCTATGTTACAGTTTGAAATTTGGGTTATTGGTCATTGTTTATCACGGCAATCCTATGTAACAGTTTGGAATTTGGGCTATTGGTCATTGTTTATCATGGTACTCCTATTGTACAGTTTGGAATTTGGGATATTGGTCATTGTTTATCATGGCACTCCTATGTTACAGTTTGGAATTTGGGTTATTGGTCATTGTTTATCATGGCACTCCTATGTTACAGTTTGGAATTTGGGTTATTGGTCTTGTTTAACTTTGGTCACTTTTATCATGGTACAGTTTGGAATTTGGGTTATTGGTCATTGTTTATCATGGCACTCCTATGGTACAGTTTGGAATTTGGGCTATTGGTCATTGTTTATCTGGCATGGCAGAAAACTTGTTTATCATGGTACTCCTATGTTGGAATTTGGGTTTTGGTCATTATTTATCATGGTACTCCTATGTTGGAATTTGGGTTTTTGGTCATTGTTTATCATGGCACTCCTATGTTACAGTTTGGAATTTGGGTTATTGGTCATTGTTTATCATGGCACTCCTATGTTACAGTTTGGTTATCATGGCACTCCTGTGTCACAGTTTGGTTTTTGTGTTATTGGTCATTGTTTATCATGGGACTCCTATGTTACAGTTTGGAATTTGGGTTTTTGGTCATTGTTTATCATGGCACTCCTATAGAACAAATTTGGAAATTTGGGCTTAATTGGTCATTGTTTATCATGCACAGTTTGGAATTTGATTGGTCATTGTTTATAACTCCTATGCAGTTTGGAATTTGGGTTATTGGTCATTGTTTATCATTTGGGAAAAAAAATTCCTATGTTACAGTTTGGAATTTGGGTTATTGGTCATTGTTTATTCCCTTCAGTTTACATTGTTTATCATGGCACTCAAGTTTTTTGGGCTATTGTTTATCATTAACACATTTGGATTTGGGTTATTGGTCATTGTTTCATAAGATTTGGAATTTGGGTTATTGGTCAGTTTATCATGGCACCTAGCACAGTTTGGACTTTGGGCTATAATTCCCTTAATCAACAGTTTAATTTGGGTTAATTGTTTAATGGCACTCAATTAAAATATATAAGTTGTCATAATTTATCATGAAACAGTTTGGAACTTGGGCTGGTCATTTTTATCATATCCTATGTAAAAGTTTGGAATTTGGGTTTATTGTTTATCTGGTCTCCTATGGTTTGAAATGGGAACTTATGTTACAGTTTGGAATTTGGGTTATTGGTCATTGTTTATCATGGCATTCCTATGTCAATTGGTCATTGTTTGTCACAGTTTGGATTTACTATGGTCAAACTTTGGGATTTCCTATTGTTTGGATTTGGCACTCCTATGTTACAGTTTGGAATTTGGGCTATTGGTCATTCTTTATCATGGTACTCCTAAGGTACAGTTTGGAATTTGGGTTATTGGTCATTGTTTATCATGGCACTCCATTGTTTATCATGGCACTCCTATGTTACAGTTTGGAATTTGGGTTATTGGTCATTGTTTATCATGGCACTCCTATGTTACAGTTTGGACTTTGTGCTATTGGTCATTGTTTATCATGGTACTCCTAAGGTACAGTTTGGAATTTGGGTTATTGGTCATTCCTATGTTACAGTTTGGTCATTTGGAATTTATTTATCATGGTCATTGTACTCCTATGTTACAGTTTGGAATTTGGGTTTTTGGTCATTGTTTATCATGGCACTCCTATGGTACAGTTTGGAATTTGGGTTTTTGATCATTGTTTATCATTGTACTCCTATGTTACAGTTTGGAATTTGGGCTTTTGGTCATTGTTTATCATGGTACTCCTATGTTACAGTTTGGAATTTGGGCTTTTGGTCATTGTTTATCATGGCACTCCTATGTTACAGTTTGGAATTTGGGTTATTGGTCATTGTTTATCATGGCACTCCTATGTTACAGTTTGGAATTTGGGTTATTGGTCATTGTTTATCATGGCACTCCTATGTTACAGTTTGGAATTTGGGCTTTTGGTCATTGTTTATCATGGCACTCCTATGTTACAGTTTGGAATTTGGGTTATTGGTCATTGTTTATCATGGCACTCCTATGGTACAGTTTGGAATTTGGGTTATTGGTCATTGTTTATAATGACATTCCTGTGTCACAGTTTGGACTTCGTGCTATTGGTCATTGTTTATCATGGCACTCCTATGTTACAGTTTGGAATTTGGGTTTTTGGTCATTGTTTATCATGGCACTCCTATGGTACAGTTTGGAATTTGGGTTTTGGTCATTGTTTATCATGGCACTCCTATGTTACAGTTTGGAATTTGGGCTATTGGTCATTGTTTATCATGGCACTCCTATGTTACAGTTTGGAATTTGGGTTATTGGTCATTGTTTATCATGGCACTCCTATGGTACAGTTTGGAATTTGGGTTATTGGTCATTGTTTATCATGGCACTCCTATGTTACAGTTTGGAATTTGGGTTTTTGGTCATTGTTTATCATGGCACTCCTATGGTACAGTTTGGAATTTGGGCTTTTGGTCATTGTTTATCATGGCACTCCTATGTTACAGTTTGGAATTTGGGTTATTGGTCATTGTTTATCATGGCACTCCTATGTTACAGTTTGGAATTTGGGCTTTTGGTCATTGTTTATCATGGCACTCCTATGTTACAGTTTGGAATTTGGGTATTTGGTCATTGTTTATCATGGCACTCCTATGGTACAGTTTGGAATTTGGGTTTTTGATCATTGTTTATCATTGTACTCCTATGTTACAGTTTGGACTTTGGCTATTGGCTATTGGTCATTATTTATCATGGCATTCCTATTGTACAGTTCGGAATTTGGGCTATTGGTCATTGTTTATCATGGTACTCCTATGTTGGAATTTGGGTTTTTGGTCATTATTTATCATGGCACTCCTATGGTACAGTTTGGAATTTGGGCTATTGGTCATTGTTTATCATGGTACTCCTATGTTACAGTTTGGAATTTGGGCTTTTGGTCATTGTTTATCATGGCACTCCTATGTTACAGTTTGGACTTTGTGCTATTGGTCATTGTTTATCATGCTACTCCTATGTTACAGTTTGGACTTTGGGCTATTGGTCATTATTTATCATGGTACTCCTATGTTGGAATTTGGGTTTTTGGTCATTATTTATCATGTTCACATGTATAAACAAACTTCAGCGCAGCGTTCTTCTGATGCTTACAGAGGTGAGTAAAGAAAACTGAGGACCATGGCACCAACAAAACAGGTCAACAACCAAACAGGTCAAGCTTCATTGAAATTTATTTTGTTTAATTTCAGATTACTAGATTTGATATTCATGAAGTCAGTTTCAATAGTCAATAGTTTGTTATGTCATGCCATGCATGTAACGATGGTATGTTGCTACATTGAATTATGTTTGACATGTCAATTTTCATCTTGTTGGTTTGTTACACGTGGCATATTAGCTTAGTTTAAAAGTAACCGTTCAAGATAAATGAAATAAAATTCATATACTGGTGCATTTGGAGAGAGCTATTCAACTGTCCTTAATTTCTTTCTTGAACTCTTCGGTGGCCTTGACCTATCCATTTTCTGTTTTGTGTTAAGTGCAGTTCAGGAAATTTTTAAACAAAACTAAAAAAAACAAAAAAACAACAACAACAAAAAAAAAAAAAAAAAAAAAAAAAAACAAATACATATTACAGAAAACTTTCAACTGTGTCTTAATCATTTTTTTTCTGACATTGACACTCTGACCTTGAACTTAATATTCTTTGTTATATGTTAAGCCAGTTTAAAAGTTACTATTCCAGATATTTTTATCAAAGCTGAAAAAACACATTTGTTGAAAAAAAAACATTCCTACTTTCATTATATGTTATGGTTCCCCATTCTCCGTGTTATATTATAGTCCAGGCTTTTGATATCATTGACAGCAGCTTTTTCAATAAAAATGGAACTCAAAAATTTACTTACCTGGTCATTGGTCATTTGCAAAATTATTTTGTTAAAACACATTCTGATTACACATACAAGTATCTGAAGTTAACATCAAAAAGATGCTTGAGTTTCTGATTGACAATATCTCTGTGGTTTTTGGAGACCAGGTCTTCCAACACTCTATTGGAATTCCCATGGGTACCAATTGTGCTCCATTATAAGCAGACTTATTTTGTATTCATATGAAGCAGAATTAGTGCAAAATTGTATTCATGAAAAGAAAAAAAAACACAAGCTGTGGCCTTCAATGCGAAATTTAGATATATCAACGATATTGTCAATTAACAATGGTAATTTCCATTCCTGATACCATGTATCCTGGTGAGCTTGAGATAAAATATACCACAGAGTCTGACACATCTGTTTCATATTTGAATATTTTACTTGAAAAAGATGTTAATGGTAATCTAACAACCAAGCTCTATAATAAACATGATAACTTTAACTTTTCTATTGTCAACTTCCCTTACTTATGCAGCAGTATACCTTCATCACCTGCATAAGGAGTTTATATATCTCAGTCGATTCGATACACAAGAGCATGCTCTGCATATGAATAATTTCCAAAAAGAGGTAAATTATTGACACACAAGTTGATGAAACAAAAATACCAGCAGTCTTGTTTAAAGTCGTCATTTCTCAAATTCTATGGTCGATACAATGGCCTTGTCTGCAAATGCAATTTATCATTGAGTCAAATGTTGACTAAAGTTTTTCATACTAATTGTTAGTCCATTATTCTTACACTTAATTGACGAAGATTTTTCTGTTATTACCCAATCATGACGAGCACACGGCGGATGTGACCGATCGGCAGGGATGCTCACTCTTCCATGGCACCTGATCCCACATCTGATGTTTCGGAGGTCGTGTTTGCTTTGCTCCTATTTTGTATTGTTTTTTGGACTTTGATAATGAATACTGTTCATCATCTCCATATCCTTCATGGTATTTATATATCTTACCAAAGAAGTAAGATACTTTTCTTTTTCAATGCAATACCAATAAACCTTAAACAGAGTATTAATGTTCTTTGGATATATTTCTCTTCTTGGCAAAAAATGTCATCATCAGAACCCAGAGGTTTTCTCTCCATTATGTACACTGCATAGTAACAGAGAAAACTGTGGGTTCTGACGATGGCAAAGTCTGCCTGAAATAGAACTTTGCTGCCTCTTCTTTAACCTGGACTTGAGATATTTTTCATGTTGTTTAACATGCATCATCATAATTGATTTGTTGATCTTGATCCAAAAAAATATAATTTTGGAGATAAAGAACAGTATTAGAGCTCAAGAGTCCATTAAACAATATAAAATAGGAGGAGAGCAAACATGGACCTCCAAAACATTGAAGGTAGGATAAGGTGCCAGGGAGAAAAGAGCATCCCTGCTGCTGTGTATTAATTAACATTTAACATCAAAATAAAGCTATTTGTCACACATGCTGTGTACTTAATTAACATTTAACATCAAAATAAAGCTATTTGTTTCACTCTATAACTGACAAGAGGGATTTTTTTCTGAAAACTTTTGAACCTAGTACTATGATTTCTGGCTTTTGTGTTGTCATCATGGGTAGCAATATGATATTGCTACCCAAGATTTATTATGTACCATCATTAGCACTACATGTATATACATATTATATCTTTATGCCTCTTATGAGAAATATCACCTTAATATTAAGTAAAATGTATAACAAATCATTAAGGGGATCACCTAATATTAAACAATTTCAATACAGGATACATGTCCATAGGTACAAGTGTTATCCCCCTGAGACTGACTAGAAATTTGCATGCAGTGAATATATCAGAGTACATGTAAATATGTATAAATGAGTAAATCCTTGGAGGCGTCCAAACAATTGCGCCAATCCAATTAAGAAATGTATGAAAAGTTATTAGAAAAATACAAATTTTGACTAAAAATAGAATGCAAAATAATACAAAACCAAAACCCCCAAAAAGGGTGGGTGGTGGGTTTTTTTTTCCACTGCACTAACAGGCTAACAAAAGAGCTTATGCGATAGTAAAAAGATTTTCCGTCTGTCCGTCTGTCTGTCTGTCTGTCTGTCTGTCCGTCTGTCTGTAAACAATTTTTCAAAATGCTACTCCTCCTACAGTTTTGGTCTAATTTCAATATAACTTGGCACACAAGTGTTACACTAAATACATAATTCTGTGTATCGGTTTTTGATTTCGATGAACATTTTGATTTACTAAAAATAGAAATTTCTGTGAAATTCTTTCAAAATGCTACTCCTTCTACAGTTTTGATCCGATTTCAATATAACTTGGCACACAAGTGGACTACACTAAGATACATAATTCTATGCATTGGTTATTGATTTCGATGAACGATGTTGCCGAGGTTACTAAAAGTAGAAATTTTTGTGAAATTGTTTCAAAATGCTACTCCTCCTACAGTTTTGGTCTGATTTCAGTATAATTTGGCACACAAGTAGAATACACTAAGATACATAATTCTGTGTATCGGTTTTTGATTTCGATGAACGGTGTTGCCGTGGTTACTAAAAATAGAAATTTCTGTGAAATTCTTTCAAAATGCTACTCCTCCTACAGTTTTGGTCTGATTTCAGTATAATTTGGCACACAAGTAGAATACACTAAGATACATAATTCTGTGTATCAAATTTTAATTTTGATGAACTGTGTTGCCGTGGTTACTAAAAATTGAAATGTCTGTAAAATTATTAAAATGCTACTCCTCCTACAGTTTTGGTCTGATTTCAATATAACTTGGCACACAAGTAGACTACACTAAGAATATAAAGAGACTTTATCAACGATCATTATTCTAAATATTGCTGTTTTAAAGTTTCAAATCCCAGCTGCTTAAATACTCTTCTCTTCCTTTGCTATAAGTTCAAACCAGTAGAGCTTCAACACACACACACACAAAAATGGTTTTTTCCACTGCACTAACAGGCTAACAAAAATGGTGCAACGAAAAAAGATTTTGATTGGGTTAAAAATCTGTAATGATCCGACGGTGTAAAATTTAACAGATTTCTCATAGCGGCATAAATTGAATTATCTGTGACAATATTGTTTTAAATTATTTCATAGGAGATAAACATTTTGATTTACTTAAATAACATGTACATCCCCCCAATCTCCTGGTTACATTGTTATTATTCTTCATTGTTGTATAATTCAGGTAAAAAAGGTTGAGCAATTGCCAGAAAATGAGTCACCTGAGCTAAGAAAAGCAAATGCAACAGGTGAAAGTTCATCAGATTCTGATCAGATTTCTGGAAAATTCATACTCAACATACTAAGCAGCAATGTTTTAGGACAGCATGGCGGAGAGTTGCTTTCAGAGCTGCGATCGTCTGCTTTTGCCCCAGCAATGGTTGTTGGGTGTATTTGTAAGGGCACAGAGGTATGTAACAAATAAACAAATTGCAATACATGCATTCATAGGCATTTTAAAATCACCTAGACAAAGTCCACTTACCAAATTAACATGGATGCATGATGGACATTTCAGACTTTCTATGGATTCTAAATCTGACCTATATTTTCCAAATGAGTGACCAGGGTAATGTCTTTTGAGTTATATATAATTTTCTGGCCTGTAATGGTTAAAGTAGTATTTAAGATGCATCTATTGTCATGAAAAATAATTACAAAAACATATACAAATAAAATAGTCAGAATGCATGTATAACTTAAATCAGAGTTTGAGAAATACGGTGGAATATACGAAGAACCTGACAATTGAAATTATAAAGGTAATAAAATTCAACACACACACACACAAAAATAGAGATCAAAACTGAAATAATAGCAAACCATTGGAACAGAAATATTGTATGTAGGAAAAAAATCAAACTTAAATTATTTAAAATGTCATTTTTAATGAAGTTTTAGAGAGTTGAATAAAGATATCCTCATGATGAGGCAAACATTACTTGATATGAGATCATGTATTTTAAGAGCCAAAGTCAAAGTAAAATTGTACTGACAAAATCATAGCATAACATGCATAGAAATATCTGGAAATTACAAACCAAAATATAATACATTTGTTAACATTTCTTTTGGAATTTTATTAAGAAATATTCGATCATATCATCTCTTACATATTGAATTTTTAAATTGTAGATCATCTTTACGTTTATGGAAATGATGCAAAATCATTTGAACAAAATAGTTTACGATGGAAAATGTGAGGGTGAATCCAGTATAATTCGGTATACAAACCCTCTGAATTACTTACTGGTAGAAGAACGTAACAAATGCCTAGATCTCCTGCTCCTGCTTGGTTTTATACAGACGTGTTGGTATGAAGCTCTATACCCAAAATAAAATTAAAAAAAAACGGCTTCATCTTGATACGAGGAGGTAATGCTTATTTTAGATTTAGTGGAGGTAATAACTAATAATCTAGATTCAGGGAAATACAATCCCTAGAAAGGAAGTAATACCTAATCTAGATTCAGGGAAATACAATCCTTAGAAAGGAAGTAATACCTAATGTAGATTCAGGGAAATACAATCCTTAGAACAAAGGAAATAATACCTAATCTAGATGAAGGGGAATACAATCCCTAGAACAAAAGAAGTAATACCTAATCTAGATGAAGGGAAGTGATACTTAATATAGATCAAGGGGCATAATACCTAATAGAGATGAAGGATATGAGACCTAATACAGAACAAGGGAAGTAATACTTAATGTAAATGAAGGGACATAATACCTAATATAGAACAAAGGAAGTAATGCCTAATCTAGATAAAGGGAAGTACAATCTTATATAGAACAAAGGAAGTAATACCTGTATTGATCAAGGGAAGTAATACCTAATATAGAACAAGGGAAATAATACTTAATATTATAATTTCATGTAAATTAGTTGAATCTGATTGGTAGAAACATTTGTTAAAAAATACTTGCTGAATATAGATCAAGGGAAGTAATACCTAATATAGAACAGGGAAGGAAGTACATGTAATACCTTATATAGAACAAGGGAAGTAATACCTAATATTGATCAAGGGAAGTAATACCTAATATAGAACAAGGGAAGTAATGCTTAATCAAGAACAAGGGAAGTAATACCTAATATGGAACAAGGGAAATAATACTTATTTTAGAACAAGGGAAATAATGCTTAATCAAGAACAAGGGAAGTAATACCTTATCTAGAACAAGGGAAATAATATTTATTTTAGAACAAGGGAAATAATGCTTAATCAAGAACAAGGGCATGCTCCAGACAGCTCAATATTACGTTACACTACTACAACTCCATATCATTATTCGTAGGGACTGAAAGTAGTCCCGGAGGATTGACACTGTATGGAGTTTGGAATAAGGGAAGTAATACTTAATTTAGAACAAGGGAAGTAATACCTGTTCTAGATCAAGGGAAGTAATACCTTACCTAGATCAAATTGAAATAATGCCTGATCTAGATTATCAGCAGATGGCCTATCAAGATTAAGGAAAGTTATGCGTAATCTAGAAGGAAAGTAATCCCTATATTTATTAAAAGAAAGGAATCCCTAGTATAGTGTCTACATCAAAGGCAAATGATGTCAAATCTGAATTTAGGGAGTTAATGCCTAGTATAGATTAAATGCAACTGGTGTCGAATCTAGATCTAGGGAGTTAATGCCTAGTATAGATTAAAGGCTACTGATGACTTGTCTAGTTTTAAGGCCTTTGTTCTTTTAAGGGCAGCAATACTACCTTCTTCATTTACAATTTAAAATGATTTCTTACCTATTTAATTATCATATAATTATCACATGTACACCTTTCAAAAATTACCAGACGAGTGTTTTTCTTTTATAATTGCTATTACCAATTTGTCTAAAATGATGATTTTCTTTTTTCTTTTTTTATATTGTTTTTTCTAAACTTTAAGATACGATATTTTTATACTGATTTGTCCATTGCCAACTGATTTGTTTTCATTTACCCAATCATACAATTGTGTACTTTTGCATTAATTAAATTTTGATCTTATTCAGTGTTCGTTACTTTCCAATCAGCAATTGTAAGATATCATATTGTTATTAAACTGTATTAACTATGTGAAACACATTTGTTGACCTTTTCGTCGCTTCATGTCACGTGTTGTCGTGTAGAACTTGTCATTTTTGTTACCCGATCATTTACCTTAACGTCCATGTAATAAAAGCATGATATTTCAATTTATTTGGTTTCATAACGTCAACGAACTTTTTGGGGAAAAATCTTATGTTTATGAAAGACATTGATTTGAGGTTAACCAGATTTCATCAACTTATCTGTTGTGTTTTTTAAAAATATTTTTATTTTTTTCTTATCAACATTGTATTACTGTATACAGGGTTATTTTCGCTCCGTTCTATTTTCGCCCTTTCACACATGCGGACAATTTTGCCCCGTTTTAAATTCGCCCTGTCAAAGTTTTGTTTAAGTACTTATACTGTATTATATGAATTCGCACCGTTTTAAATTCGCCCAAATGAGGCTAGGGCGAAAGGGGCGAAAATTTCCCTGTATACAGTAGTATTTGCTACTACTGTATCGCTTCTGTTTTTATTCTTTAATTATTTTTTCTATGAATTCAGTAATATTCTGTTGTTTTTCTCTCTGTCTGACTCCCTTACTTACATTTTGTACAAATCCATTATATTTCTTTTGTATGATTAGAACCTCATTTCAATTTCAAACGTTATTTTTCAGCATCTTCAAACCACGTTTTCTTGCTGTCTAAAACTCTAAATAGGATTTGTCATCTTAATCATAAATAATAAGGAAACGGATTAGCATAAGTTTTTAAAACTTTGTACCAATTTTTTGTGTTTGTACTCCTTGCCTGTTTTTTCTGCTCGTCATTTTGAAATAAAATATGGTTTGAACTACAGGTAACTTATCTGTTCACGGTTTGTACCATCTGCGCTAGCCAAAGTTTTGATCCGAAATCTACTCTACATTTGGAATAGGAAATCCTTGGCTAGCAATGATGAGTATATACTCGGAAAGGAAGATGATATCTGGAAATGCTATATCTTCTTCAGAAATTAAGTACCTATACTTATATTGATTTTGCTATAAAATGATATAAAATCGTTTTTTAAAATAATTTTTCCTTTATGTGAATAGGATTCATTCGAGTTAAATATTTTTTAAACACTTTTCTTGATATGACAAGCATTCAACAAAACTCAAAGACAGAAAGATATTATGTTGCAAAATGATATAAAAATATTAAAAAAAAAAAACAAACTTAAAAGTGTTTTTTTTTTTAAATAACAGCATTCTCATGTTCAAATCAATTAACACCCAAGCTAATATATTTTGTTCTCACACCTAGACACGTGTTTTGATAATCAGCAGACTTGTAATACACAATCACGTGCGTTATTCCCGATGGTAGTCCCTGTTTATACTTTGGAATGGTATTCCATGTTTAATATGCTATTTGAATACATATATCTGAATATTTTTTTATTTGTTACTGAATGTCCGCAAAAATTTTTGCTCACCGTCCGAGTGAGTAATGCTGCGGCGTAATTTTATTACGACATAGTTAACTTGAGTTCAGTGAACTCTGTTTATATCACTATTGTTATTATAGAGGTTGGATCCTGTTATCAAAGGTATTGAGAAATTTTTTCTATCAAGTTCATTGTAAGATTCTAAACACATTTATTTGAATAAATATGTTTTAAATCAATCTTTTCACATAAGTTAATTTAAAAAAAAAATCAAAACCAAATATGGGGATCAAAGCTGTTCTTTTGGCGCCACGGAGCATTTAATATGACCTTTTTGCACTGTGATTACTTCTAACTTTCAAAGTTTTTTCTCTAATATTTTTTTTATCCAAATGAATTTTGGGAACAAATACCTTTAACAAGCAATAAAATTATTGGAAAGTCATGACTCTTTTCAGAAGCAGAATGGATAAAATAAATTGGGCTAATTTTTCCCAAGGTCTTTGCGATACTGATTATATTAGCTATCTTTTTCAAATACAATGTATGTTGATAAAGTTCACGACAGTTAATTTACTGTAGTATTTTAAAATTTAAAAACCAACGTAAAACATTTCACTGCTAAAACAAGTCTGTGTACAGGCTTCGTGTAAAAATAGAAAATCTAATCAAACTTAACAAAACTGCAAATACATGGTATGAGAAAAATTGACCACTTTTATAAAAAAAAAATCCGCCAAAAATATATTTCCCCACACAAAAATCTACTCAAAGCCTAGGAGCGAACCTCTTTAAAAGGACTGGGTGGTTGTGGCCATTTTCAGACTATATCGATCTACTTAGGTGTTAATCAGATTGGATATTTAAAAATTCCAATGAAACATTTGGAGATAACGAACTCAATATCAAAAGTCCATTAAACAATACAAAATAGGAGCAGAGCAAACACGGACCTCCAAAACATCAAAAAACTGATTCGATCAGGTGCCATGGAGAAATGAGCATCCCATGCCACCCGGTCACACCCACTGCGTGCTCTTTGTCATGATCAGGAAATAACGTGAAATCTATCGTCAATTCAATGTATAAATAATGGCCTAACAATGAGTATGAAAAAGGTCTGTCATCATTTGACATAATTAATTGTATTTGCTGACAAGGCCATTGTATCGACCATAGGACTTACAAAATGTTGACATAAAACGAGACTCCCGATATTCTTATTTTATCAACTTGTTTGTCAATAATTTACCTTTTTAAAAAAATGTTCATATATAGAGCAGGCTCTTGCGTATTGAGTCAACTGAGAGATATAGACTCCGTATGCAGGTGATGAAGGTATATTTCTACATTAGTAAGGGAAGTTGACGATTGTAACGTTAAGTTATCACGTTTCTCACAGAGCGTGGTTGTTATATTACCATTAAGGTCTTTTTCAAGAAAAAAACACAAGGTGGGTGTCACCGACCAACAGGGGATGCTTACTCCACCACGGCACCTAATCCGACCTCTGATGTTTTGGAGGTTCTTGTTTGCTCTGCTCCTATTTTGTATTATTTTATGAACTTTGATATTGAATGCTGTTCGTTATCTCCATATCCTTCATAAGTAAATTATTTTACGAAGGTTTAAAACGTATTTTGTATTGTGATCCCATCCATGTACTTCAAGCTTGTCAATTGAAGGAGTACGAGTGGAGAATAGTACTCTAGATAGTACAGAACATGCTGCTTTACAAGTCACGTGACGTAATTTATTATGAGGTAAGAAATCACGTGGTGAATTATAATAATCAGCATATCACAGCCCCTGGTTTCAACAGAGAGAGCGAGTGTAAGAACGAGCATTTTTCCTTCTTAAACCATGAACGCATGTTTGTCTATTAATCATGTAATACA